GAGTCACTGAAAATGGATTAGTTACTTTTTTTGGTTTAAGAGGGAAACTGAAATACTTGTGCGGTTTGGACACCAATACGACACGGTGTACCCTATAATTTAGGCACTGTTTGTTCAAAGCTGTATATCTCAGTTGTCTTCATAGTTATCAAAAAATTTTTAACTAAAGAAATGTGTGAAATTTAATTTTGAACATTTTACTAGTTGACCACTTCTTGATAGCTTTGATGGAAATCGAGATATGATGCTTGGAACATTAAGTACTGAGCACTACAGGGATTACCATATGTTTAGCGCTCTATATCTCGGTTGGCTTCACAGCTATCAAAAAGTAGTCAACTGAAGAAATGTTAAACAAAACATTTTGAACATTTTACTAGTTAATCGCTTTTTGATAGCTTTAATGGGAATCGAGATATACTGCTTTGAAAATACAGTAAATCTTGAAATCCAGGGACATTCTGTTTGAAGCAGTATATCTCAATTGCCTTAAGAGCTATCAAAAAATAGTCAACTGAAAAAATGTTAGGCAAAACATTCTAAACATTTCATTAGTTGAAAACTTTTTTATAGCTTTAATGGGAATCGAGATATACTGCTCTGAACATGCAGTACTACCTGACGGCGCCGCAAGCTAAGAGCGAGATTCAGATATGCGCCCTTTTCCTCTTCTTTTACTCTGCCCCCGTGGCTTGGTGGCTACCACTCCCCTTTTCCAATTTTCACACCCAGGTTCAACCCCCACCTAGCCCCAAATCATTTTTACACCTCCCCAACTTACCCGGAAGGCGAAGAGGGAACGATCAGATAGGGATAGGCCATGACGTAGCCGATGAGAAGGCACTGAAACATTTTTGCATTGTAAACATGACAATAAATCTTTCCTGGCTAACCTGCAAGAGAAGCAGTTGGAGTGGAGATATTGGAAGAAGCTTCTGACTCATGTCGCTTTTGTTACCTGGAAATTTATTGCTATTGGGTTGGGGGGTAGGAAAATTTGGTTCCGGGTAAAATGAAGAAAAGAAAAAATGAGGAAATTGAGAAGTGAGGAAGAAGACGGAAATTGGAAAAGTTGAAGAAAAATTTTTGAAGAAAAGAAAATTGATGGGACTGAATTTTGAAGGCGTAGGCTCAGGTCTGGGCTGGCCTTAGGCTTAGGCTGAGGTTTAGGCTGACCTTAGGCTTAGGCACAGGTCTAGGCTGACCGCAGGATTAGGCTCAGGTCTAAACTGACCTTTGTCTTAGGCCCAGGCCAATGCTTACCTTAGGCCTTTTCTCAGCCTATGCCTACCTCAAGCTTAGCCTCACACCTACCTCCCCTCCTACTCAAGCTCAACCAAAACACGCCATTCCCCCCACCTACAGAAACAATAAAATGATGAACCCCTACCCTCCCACCTCCCACCTCCTCCTTCCCCTAGTGGGCGTGGCCTTCCATTTTATCAGGCTGATGCAACATGAGAGGAAGCCCTAGAAGTTTCTGAATTTATTCCGCACTTGAGATGTGATTACGAAATGGATGCGTTTTGTTCCTAAGATCACTTAGGTGACGTGGCCGCCTAGCCTAGTATTGTACTGCTGACGTTGGTCTGAAATTGGTCCCGGGGGCCTCCAAGGGGCCTCCAAAAGGGATACAAATAAGCGCACGTCATTCTAGAACACACACAAAAAAAATAAAAAAGAATTTGACCTCCGGTGGATTCGAACCCCGGCCTTCCTCCTGGAAATCAAGCGCTTTGCCACTGCGCCACACGTCCAAGATCAGAGAAGGCGCCGGCTGGGCTTTAAAAGCGTGCGGAGAACGAGAAAGAAAGGGGGAGGAGGAAAGAAAGGTGTCCCTTTTCCCCGAATGAAGTCGGCTTATATGGGGCGTCCTGGCTCCGCCCACTTTTCTCTTCGGGGGATCGGAACGAGTTGGCAATATGACGTGTGAGAACTAGTATAGTTTTTGACAAGTTTCAAATGGGTTTTTGCATAGAAACCTGGAGGACAGGGGCCTAGAAACGGGGTGGTCGAGATGTATATACATGAAATCATAGTTTTTCGAAAAAAAATTAGAAGGTTTCTTTTTGAGATTAAGGATTTTGGAAATTGGAAGAAAATGTTAATCCGAAAATTTGGGGAAGTCTTGGAAGTCTAACACAAGTCAGGAGTTCAAAATTTGATGTAACAATTTAAAGGCGCAGCATGAAAAATATTTTAAAAAAACACCGTGCGCCTTTAAGGTAGTAACCCGGATGAAAAAAAAAAACAAAATACTTGAGTCATATTTACCTTTTGGTAACTGAATACACACTACAAATTTTGCCAAGATGACGTATTTTTCATTCATGCCACCCGAAGGAAAACTGGGGGTAGAGCTCATTAGAGCAATTTATGTGGGATCGAAAATGACCAGATCTTTGGTTATGGAAAAAACTGGAAAAAAAATTACTGAGGGACAGGTGAATTTGAAAAAATTTTTTTTTGGGTTTGGACAGACGACCTTTAGGCTTAAAATGCCAGGAATTTTGGGGCGGAGCAAAATTTTTTTTTCGGAATTTTTTTCCAGTCAATTTCCGACTTCCTAAATTCCCACTAATTTTTTTTTAATTTTACGGTAGATCAAAAAACCAAGCTAAGATCTTTGATTACACTTCTCTAACAGGTGAAACAATTCATTTCAGAATCTAAATTCCTTAGTGGTCAATAGTCGTACTCCTCCTCCTCCTCCCCCCGTCCCATTCATGCAGATATCACCCCTTATTAGTAAATACGAAATGGTTCAGTGAAGTGGAAATGTGCGATACGATGAACTAGGGGTCTAAAAATGAAAGAGAGAAGTCGTGGCTATATTGTAGGAAAAAGAAAAAAAGATTTGCCCCGGTGGGGGTCGAACCCGCGGGTGATATTTTGAAAACTAGAGCGTTAGCCGCTAGACCGCGGCGGGCAATAACTGTAAGGGGGAGGAGGGCATACAGGAAACTGCGCGTTTTGGAAATAGAGCGGGGGGGTGGGGAGGAGGCGTTACCCAGACACGAATCATTAAACTTGGCTGAAATTTAAATTTCAGTCAAAATTAATTTATGATTAGAGCGCATTTGCAATAACGTCATAATCTTCCTGATCAGAAGGCATAAAAGGGCTAATTGGATGATGCTTCCACCTTAATAAAATCCGGAATCCGCGTGAAGCAGTCACAAGGCACAAAACTTCCTACAGTAATCCTTAAAGTACCCCGGAAGAAAAAAATGCGACCATCACACAAAAAATT